ACTTTATGGACATTGTGGCTAGTGGATTCTGGAAACAGAAGCCTCCCAAAGAAACATTTCCAAGCCCAGTGAGAAAGGCAAGAGAACTGAAGAGAGCCTGACTTGGAAGACGTAGTCTACCATGAACTAGACTGGTAGATCCCCACCTTCTAAAACAAGAAGAAATAAAATTGTGTGTATGTAGGAAGTACACATAACGGTGTTGCATCAGAGTGGGAGAATGTAACAAAACGAGTACCCGATCCTAAGAACCCCCTTTCATACCCCCCCAGCCCCTCTGCCTGTGGCGGTTCCGTCCAGGGTGCCCTCAGAGGCCAGGTGCGTGTGCGGGAAGCAGACTTATCTTGCCCTTAACACGGCCGAGGAAGGGGGCAACAGACGCCCGCACCTGGAAGACGGCGGTTTGGAGGAGGCTGCGGACGACAAGCGCCAGTGTTGCTGCAGGAGACGCGAGGAAGGGGGGAAAGTCCTGGCGCTCCGCGCCTCGCTGTCCGGGGAAGGTGACGGGCGCGTCCTCAAGGGCTCTCTCGTCGGGCGAAAGGCGAGCCCAAGGGCTCCTCCTCTCCCGGTGATCGACGGGCACAAAGATATCATTTCCCGCTCGTCTGAAGCCTTCTGGAAGCCGGCAAGCAGCCCTTCCCCCCCCCGCTCAACACCCCGAAAACCCCCTATCGTTTTGGGGCTCCCTCGGGCTGCGAGGCTTCCTTCGCTCTCTCCTCCGAGGGCGCAACCGGGACTTACCTGATGAACCCCGGGCTCAGCTTGACCGCGTCGCCGGAGTTCGGGATGTTTGTGTCCGGAAGCAGAGCGCTCGTTTGCGGCAACCGGGCAAGGAACCGGGTGTCTGTGTGTGTGGGGAAGCCGGTACCACAAGCTCGGCCCACAGGTTCCCTTTTCTCTGTCCTGTTGGTCTCGGAGGGTGCCCGCCTGCCGCACTTGTGAGGGCGCCTCGCCTCGTCTCCCTCGCCGGTCCTGCCGAGGGCCGGAGCAGAAGAGCGGCCCCAGGAAGGCGTATCAGGTGCTTGGACGGCTTCCAAAGCTGCGTCTGAGGGGAAAGTGCGGCTCCTCCTCTCTGGGAGACCAAGCTCAGCTTCCCCGCTGAGGAGGGAATTGTCTGGGTGGCTCCGGCTCTCCCGCTCCCTTTCCCCAGCTGCCGCCTCAGAGCCCTCGTTGGATGGAGGGGTGGGAAAAGGGACCCTTTAAATCCGAAACCCCAAAGTGACACTGAGCTGGGAGGAGGGCGGCGGGAGAGAGCTGAGGCAATTGTCCGACAGACCGGCGGCCAGACCGGTAAATAACAACAGGCTCGTCCGACCGGCGGGCACAAGCCTTGGCAGGCAGCCGGCACTGCAGCAGCAACCCAGGCTCGTCAGGACAGCCTTTCATCCCTCAGTTTTACGGCCGTGAGGGCAAACCTAGACATTGCCGAGTCGGAGTGGTGTGATGGTGTCTGATTTTAAAAGGGAAAGCAGCCAGCAAGATGTCGTGTTTACAGGGCTGGCCTGTGATCGGCACATTGAGGTTCAGGTCTGGCCAAGCCATAAAAACTGACTGGGAGACCGGGAGCCCCTTGCGCAGACTCTGTCCCAAACCTAAGCCACCTCACAGGGTCGTTGTGTGAGGAAAAAAAATGGGGAGGAGGTTGAGAGTGGCCTTGGCTGCCAGATGGGCTGTATATAAACAAACAGACTCTGCTTTGAGTTCCCTGGTGGGAGGGGAGTAACCCTGCAGGACACTAAAGTTTAACAAGAGGATCACAATGGGAGCAATGGGGGATACAAAATCCCTTCTGCTGCTGCTGCCTCCCGCACCCCCCTCCTCTGAGTTAATTTTATTTCATACATATCGATAAAGCAGGCACTTTTGGGAAAGCAGGAGTCAACAAACCTCACTCACCAGCATGGACTCTTAAAAACTGAAATCATTCTCAGCTTCAGGCTCTGGGGGATATTTCAAAAGGCTGACTCTACAGCTGGACAGAAAAGGACAATTCAGGAGTCTTATTTGGGGGTATCTTGAAAATGCAATCATATACAATTTATTTTTGTTTTCTTCACACTCAAAAGGGAAGAGGTGCCTGTTTCATTTGCTGCCTTACAGAAGATTGGCTTTCCTTGGGCACTGTGCATCTTGATGTGGAGTTGCGCACATGGCATTTACTGTTCTGTGCCCCTCCCCCCATGTATTGAGCTATCCTTAGGCAAAGTATCCTCTGTGAACTACTGGATGTGGCCATCCCCTGCTCTCTCCTCCATTCCAACTTGTCCAAATCTCATTATTACAGAGAAGGAAAATGCAGGAGAAAGAGCGAGCAGTGATGGCTCTTGTTCCTTCTCTCCTCTTCAACTCTTTCCTCTCCTTCATTTGTTGTAGGTTTTCCTTTGTGGCACCGGGGAGGGACAGACAGTTTGAATGAGTGGCAATTGAAAAGAGCAGGAGGAGGAGGAGGAGGGTGAGGGCCAGAGGCTCTAGAGGCCAGACATGAACCCCTTAAGAGGCCTTATGATGCTCATGTTTGTTGCATGTTTGAATTTCTGATAGAATTTATTTATTTTATTTATTTATTTATTGGACTTATATACCGCCCCATAGCGCTACAAGCACTCTCAGACTTTTGAATTTCTGGTAGAATTCTCTTTTGTTATTCAGTAAACATAAGGTCTTACATACGAGAATAGCTACAAGTTCCTCAGATAATCCACCCCTTTATTTTGTTCCTTGTACAGAATTTATGGACACATTTGTGTCAACTATCTCTTTAGAACTTTTCAGTGTCAGGGCCACATCATATAATTTACACTACACATTTTCAAGGGCTGAAGGAGGGATGAGGACCCAGGCGATTCCCCCACCCCTGCTGTCTTTGCAAAGAGAGGGAGTGGGGGATTGCTTCGGTCCCCCTTCCTCTCTTTTCCAATGCCTGGGCTGGATAAAAAGGCAAAGTGGACTGGATGTGGCCAGGGGCGGTAGCTTGGAGATCCCTGCTTTAGAACATTGCAATAATGCAGACCTTCCTCCCTTTTCCCCTTTGGAGAGACTCTGGTTCATAACTTGGTCATCTCTTGCCTAGAAGAATAATTAAATCTACTGGATAGATGGCTGTGGCAGTTTCTCTGCTTCTGGGGGTACTGAGACCAGATGCCTGGGAAATCTCGACAGGTGACTCAGTTCACAAACTCAATCCACTAAGCTCCAGAGGCACGGAGTCCCACTCTCTTTTCCGTCTCTACACTGCCACCATCCCATTTGATACTGTAATACCACTTGCTCTCTGGGCATGCTCACAAGCCTCTAGGGGAAAGAATTCTCTGGCAGAGACAGAGACCCCTGGCTGTGTTTGGCACAGCCAGAGACACATTAGGTTGCAACCAAAAGATGAAGTTATATATAAAAAAAGCAAGGTTATAGACAGGCAAAAAAGCTGGGCACATAGACCTCAGTACTGTATTCTAACTGCATAGAACAAGTCTATAGCTGACTAAAATCTTACCGTTTCCTTAAGACTAGTGTTTCCTTTGACATGCTGGCTTGCATGCCATATTCCACCTTTCTCCGCTTCCATCATATCCTCCTTTCTCCTCTGAAGGTGCTTGGTTTCTCCTGAAGCTCTCCTGATTCTCAACTACAACTATCCATCTATTCATCTACCTGTTCATCCACCCTCCCCCGCCTCTTAGCATGCTCCCCTCGAGTCACTCCCCCCCCTTTGTTCTGAGGATCAGAGTCTCAGGTGTATAAAGTGAAACATGCATCTGGCCAGGGAAAGTGCTTTGAAGTCTGAGAATGGAAACTTCCTTTTGGCTATTTGCTGGTGAGATTATCATAACACTGGACTTGGGGGGAACCAGTTCCCATGAGAAGCCAAAGGCCAATTTCAGGTCTTTATCAATTTGTACAAGGAATCAGTTTAGAAGTGCTCTACACTTTTGATCCTTCATGGATTGCTGCCTTGTCGTGGCGAAGGGGCTTGAGTAACTCAGAGAAGCTATGGGCTATGCCATGCAGGGACACCCAAGACGGACAGGACATAGTGGAGAGTTCCGACTAAACGCAATCCACCTGGAATAGGAAATGGCAATGCCACTCCAGTATCTTTGCCAAGAATGCCCCATGATCAGAAACAAAAGGCTAAAA